AAAAAAAATATTTCGAAGACGACGTGTTGATGTGTACACCATCACACAATCGGCCAACGGATTCTCAGTAATGAGGAGAGGCCTGTGCTCCGCAGCATTAAAATAGGCTGTAACTTTAATTTTTTTATAAAGAACACAATTCACCTGATGGTAAATGGATGCTGTAGTACATAGATCTACATTTAACCTCAATTAAGAATCAAAATGCAAATGCGTTGTTACCCTTGAGGATTAAGATGGAATGGCTCGATTCCAGTAAAACGGGTCTGCGGTTCGCTACACTCGCCATACGAAACAGCAGCATTAGGCTGCTATTTTACGCTGGTATTCTGTGAGAGCGTGGTCCTTTCCCGGTTGAGCCGACCCATTCATGCTACAACCATAATATAGCTGCAGCGTGGCTCTACCACGTACAAAAACATCTCTATGGATAAAAATCAATTTCTGTACGTTAGTCTCGAAACTCAAAAACAGCTCGACCGATTTTGATCATTTTTTGTGTGTGCTTGAACGGGTCCCTAGGTGGTTTAGATTTACATTTGGACCACATCACCCGTGCAAAACCGGGGTGGATCGCTAGTCACTTCATAAAATTGATTTTCGATCAAAACTTTCGGCGGAATTTAAATTTATATCTTTCGAGAAAAAATCAATTGATAAAAATAAAAGACCTCAAAGAAATTTGTGATGTTTATTTGTATAATAAGGGTAACAAACAAGCACAAAGTTCATCTGATAGTAAGTGAAAACTGTAGCCCATAGACATCTACATCTGGCATCGATTATGAATCAAAATATAGATAGGTTGTCACCCCCGAGGACTGAAATGGAATGCTTCTTTTCTAGTAAATAGGGTCTCCGGTTCTCTATACTCACCAGACGAGCACGACAAAGCAACATTAAGTTGCTATTTTACGCTGGTACTCTGTGATACTTTCCCTGTGGTCCTTCCCCAGCCGAGCCGACTCATTTCCACTAAAACTATAATATAGCTGCAGCCTGGCTCTGCCACGCATAAAATAAAATTGTAGTATATGATATTAGTTATTTTTTATCATGCGAATTTCTACGAGAATTAAAAAAGAAAATATAATAGATTTTCATATTCTTTAAGGCAGGCCAGGCTGACAGCCAAAGTACAATAGGAATAGAAAAAAGCGTAATATAAAATATTTTCAAAATCGGTTCTGACATAACCGACTTTTTTCTTAAAGTTTTTAATACTTCCGTACAAAATTCCTAAGATATTTTAAAATCATTTCATACGTTACGTAGTAATCACAGTTTAAATTCACTTATTGGGGTTATTAAAGCTTTCAATTGCTGTAGGTATCAGAACCGATCGAGACCGAAAACAAAATATTTAATAGAATTAACGGGCCATTTACTTCACTAGAATTGGGACCGTCGGCAATTTTGTACAAGTTCCGCTGTAAAAAGTCGCACCGAACTCACAGCTTCGTATCGCTTAAAATCAGTTATTACCAACTGACTTATGACTTTATGATTCTTAAAATATCATAATTATTGAAATGACCTTTTGGTAATATGACAATAATGTGCTATCGAATCACTCCGTTCCGAATTATAATTTTTACGACTAACACAATTTGGCGAGACGGCGATATAAATTTTATTATCACATTTTGAATCGGATTGAAAACAAATTAAAACGACCCCATGTTGTCTAATCGATAAAAAAGGACAATTTTGAAAAATTTACGATAAAATTATGTACGTCTATAATTTGTTCAGTAGGTTTAATTATTAAGATTTTGGAACCCTATACGACGGGAAAGCTCTTCTAAATAATTTATATTTGAATTCTAAATATATTAATGCCTTAAAACATATTTAATATCTTCATGTTTTAACGAGAATACAAAGCTTTTGTGAGTATATAATAATTTATAGTGACTTTATATTTATGTTTAATTTTTTTCTAAAAAACTGTCGAAGAAACAACAAACCATATAGTTTAAAACAAAGAATAAATGCCGTAACAATGTCTTCAACAACTGGCTATATTTCCATCTAATGTGTACACCATCACAATCTATAGATATTTTGGGCACAGTTGCCACGCTAGGCGGGTGGTTTTGGCATTCGCAGTTTTTTTTTAAATTATTTAAGTTGTTATCAGGAACATGCTGCCTCTATCTCTTGTTTTGGTTTTTCTCTGTCGCCTATTACGACACCAACGGGACTTGGAAGAAAATGTTCTTACAGCACCACACAATGTACGCCTTTCATTTAAGTTAAAATCATTAAAAAGGCTTATTTCATAAGGCTGTTTTAATTATTTAATGTGATATCTGATTTAATGAAGTCAGTTACAGCCAATACACGTTCCACAGCCGGGAATAGATTTCCTTTCATTACTCGAAGGGGTTTTTTAGGGCAAGGAACTGTCCGCCGTGCAGAAATCCCGCCAAACGCTTGTTGGCAGACCTCAAACGTCTTCGAAATATTTTTATTCCATCACCGACGTGCAAAGGTTGCAATTAACAATTCCACTGGACGGAGATCCATAATGGCGAATTTTAAAATTTAAGGCGTGTGTTTATTCTATTAAATTAAAAAATAATCATTTAAATCGATTTAGCCATTTGTTAAAAAAATAGTGCATATAAATAAAAACATTTACAGATATATTCAAATATAGATCCTCCTTGTTTTTTAAACTCTGATAAATAAATACAAATAATTATAACAAAATTGTATTATTTAAAGTAGGAATGACGTTAAATTTACTTAAAGACCGTTTTTATGTAAAAAATAAAATGTAGACATACATACATTAGCGTGTCATTGATAATATATGTCTCCATAAAATCTACTAATTAATAGTGATTAAAAAGGCCAATACATAATCTCGGTTGTTGTTTATCTAAGAAAGCAATTTGCTTGCTAATTTCTACCGTACAGGCTTGTGACATGAATTTATTGCGTCAATAAATAAAAAAATAGGTGTCGTCTGATTTTAATGGTTTGAATTTGGATGCTATTGGAGGCTTTAAAACTACTGTATTAATTAAATTTTTTAAATAATGGTGACAAATAAGCACACAGTCGACTAGTTGTTATGTTTACGTACATATAAAAATGAAACGCTGTCGAAGAAATCACGCGTGAGAAATCGGGGCGGTTCGCTCGTATATGATCTACGAGCACTTAAACCTAGGGTTAAGTGCTCGTATTAGGGCAAGGAAATGTCCACCATGCTGCCCCAATGCGTGTTAGCGAACTTCACATGTCTTCGAAATTTTTTTCTTATTTCTCAGACATGCAGGTTTCCTCACGATGTTTTCTTTCACCGTCGAACACGTGGTAAATCAGCACTTAAAATTGCAATTTACTATTTCATTGGTGCCGGCGGGGAACGAACCTCTCCGTACTGTGAAATTTACAGCGAGCGCTAACCATCTGAGCTACCACGGCTCTATTTACAATATATCTACATTAAAACATATTCAATTTTTATTGCCATAATAAAAAAAAACTAAAACTAAAACCTAAATTATCATTCAGACTTCCACTCCCCCTCCTCCCGCTATATAGTTTTTTTTAATATAAATTTTAGCAATGCTATTAACATTACTAATATTCCCCTTAACCACTCATGGTAAGCTTAAATTGCTTGTATTACGAGTGATTCACGCCAGTAGTCGAATGGCGGATTCGAATCCACGACCTTTTTGAGTTTGCGGTCCGCGCCCTACCATTATGCTACTGTCGCTTTTTCTTTACTGTGAGTTTCCTCGCTAAATATCTGTACTTAGCCCTAAAGCGAGAAAAGAACCAGACCTGTAATGTTTAATTAAATGTGTTGCAGGTAGATGCTAATGAAGGTGTTGTTTCTACCACACGTGTTAGGTCGTGGGCAAAAGATAATAATTCTGTATATTTACCAACATAAATATTTATTTAGATTAACTGGTTAAGAGTTTAGTAGTTGCTAGAATAATACATTTAATAAGTATAATAAAATCATAATATTATATGCAAAAACAAAGACGTAAGTGAATATGACTGGCATTTAATTCAAAAGTTTATGAAATAAAAAAAGAATAAGGAAAATATCGACATTATTTTAGTATCTTTAATTCCTTAAAAAAATAAACAACTCAACGACGTAGCTGGTTACTAGAGATGTGACGTGTCTAACAGATGATATAAAAACATCGATAAAATTTTAAACCAATCAAAGAACACAAAATCATTCACAATAAAGCGTCAAATCGAAACATTTCAAGTTGTCTTTTATGAATTTTATGTGACTTTTACTACCCACTGTGACAAACCAGTAATTATTTTGAACACAAAATATTAAATATTCGCAGACTTGAAATTGTTGCTGTGGTGAGCAAAAAACTGTCAGTGCGGCTCGTAATTTTCATTTCGATACTCTTTTCGGTATAAACAGAAATTAAGTAAGGCTTCTTATTATTGTTATTCGACTTTTTGAATGTGTTGTGAAACTCTATTTCGGTATTTTACTGAGTACTTCGTGAAGTGTTTATTTGTTTACAATTATGTGAAGAACATAATCTGATACATGAAAGTGTTGATAATCAGGAATCTTATAATAAGTGATGCGATTTACTTATCGAGGAATCATGGTTAGTGCATCTGACTAGGATGTGAGTCCAGTTGTTGGATCTGAGCTTAAGTAATTTTTTAAATATTAAAAATATCACACGTTCGATTCGCCTTAGATCTTAAGATATAGTGAAGAACATCTCTAACGTCTACGTCATGATATTTCATCGTTAGTTGTTTGAAATACAATGCTCTAAGTTGCAAAGAAGTATGTGCATATTAGACGAAATATCCAATTAAGTACGTCGCATTTTAAAATAATAATAAAAATAATAAGGAGGAGTAAATTGGAGGAGGCGATTGTGAAAACGCGCAGTACGCCTGTCGAAAATCAACCGCGACTTCCCCGCATAGCCCTAAGCAAGCGGAATCGGGCTGTCGTGAGGGCTCTGAACCCAATGCTGGTGACCTATTTGGAAGCCAGCCGGGACCTTTGCGAGACGGACTCAATTCTTTTTGGCGCCGCACTGGCGGTGTGCCGTATTATAGGCGCCAAACTTTCCACGGCTGGACGCGCTACTGGACAAAGTAGCGCTATCCCAGCCTGGAGAATAAGAATCGAAGAACGTATCGCAAAGGATAGGGCCCTCATCGGCAGACTGATATGCTTCAGGTCAGGCAACAACAGGCCAAGGATTGTGCGCACCGTCAGGATGGCATTTGCTGGGACAAATGTTAGTTTATCCCTGCCGGATATAATGCAAAAACTGACAGAGCGCATAGACGACCTGAAGCAGAGAATCGCTGCTTGGGGAAAGCGGATTCGGCGATATACCGAGAGTTCGACACGGTTTAACCAGAATCGTCTCTTCCAGAGTGATCAGAAGAGGCTCTATAAATCGTTGGAGCGACCAACGGTAAGTGGAACGGGCCCAGCACCAAATCAGGCCGACACTGTAGCTCAATGTAACAAAATGGATGTCTGGGCGGCGGTTGTGGAACCAAGGAACCACTCCTCATTGACGCGGTCATTGGCAAAGTGGTGAAACGCAACCGTCGGAACTTTTCCGCCGCCTGGATAGACTACAGAAAGGCATTTGACTCGGTGCCCCATACATGGCTAAAGAGGGTCCTCGAGCTGTACAAGATTGACTGTACAGTTCGAGACTTCCTCGAGCAGTGTATAGGGCAGTGGAGTACGATTCTCTGTCATCTAGGCGAGCGGATGACGGCTGCGGGAAGCCGCATAAGGATAAGAAGGGGTATATTTCAGGGCGACTGTCTGAGTCTAATCTGGTTCTGCCTCTTTTTAAACCCTTTCAGTACTTTACTGGAGGGTTCCGGGAGAGGATTTTAGCTTCGAAAAGGAGGTACAAAAGTGACCCCACCTTTTCTATATGGATGACCTTAAATTATTCGCCTCCAGTCGCTCCCATCTTATGGAATTGCTAAACATCACTTGTGAATTTAGCAATTCTATTGGAATGGAGCTGGGGACGGATAAGTGTGCGGTCCTCCATGTTGAAAGGGGTAGGGTTGCTAACTCTGAGGGCATAGACTTATCTATGTCCGTCAACTTAAGGACCCTTTCCGAGGCTGAAACATATCGATACCTGGGTATGTCACAGAACATCGGTATCGATGAGGCTGGTATGAAACAGTCAGTTTGCGACACGTTTTATGCACGCTTGACCACAGTGCTTAACAGCCTTTTGTCCTGTGTGAATAAGGCACACGCATATAATGGCTGGGTCATGCCTGTCCTAATGTATACCTTTGGTATACTCAGGTGGACTCAGACCGAACTTAACGCCCTGGATAGAAAAGTCCGCACTACCATGACGTCCCATAGGATGCATCATCTGAGATCGTCGGTAATGAGGCTGTACTTGCCGCGAAAGCGTGGTGGGCGTGGCTTCCTGAGCGCGCTCACCATGCATAATCGCGAAGTGTACAGCCTCCGTAATTACTTCCTGGTGAGATCGGATGATCCATTCTATAATGACGTCATTTCTAGTGATAAAGGGCTTACCCCTCTATCCTTAGCCAACGAGCAATGGCAAGACCCGGCAGTACAAAGCATTTCCGACGGGGAGACCGTATGGAAGGAGAAGGAGCTCCACGGGAGGTACTACAATGTTCTACATGAGCCCTTCGTAGATACAGTCGCCTCCCTCAACTGGCTACGTTTCGGTGACCTTTTTGGGGAAACCGAGGGTTTTGTCTGTGCAATACAGGATCAGGTTGTTAAGACCAACAACTATCGGAGATACATCCTAAAGGATGGCACCATCGACATACAGTAGATGGGCAGCGTAGCCGACTCTCCAGAGGAGGCGGCTGTGCTGTTGAGGGCACAAAATGAAGGGCTCCATACTGAGCTCTGGAGAATCCTCCACCGTAGGGACGAGGACAATGGGTTCCTAGTAACCTTTTCTATGGATGACCCATCGGCGGAGGCTCTTCGGAAGGCAAGCGGCAGTCATCCTCGGCTTTAAGATGATAACTTTTAAGTCAAGGAAGGCTCTGACGCGGCAATGGAGCCCGAACCGCCCTAACCCGAACCCCAATCCCCCAGCCCTCAACCTCTCGGGGTGAGGCTGGAACGCCACCGGTGAGAGTGACGAAGACCCAGATCGGTCCGACGGCCTCCGCTGGTGTCGTCCAGGCCGGGAGGGAGGGGAGGTGGGAGCGGTTCGACGAAAGGTAAGGCTGGGGTCAAGTTCGCAGGAAAAAACGTCCTCGTCCTCAACAGGCGGAAAAGACCCCTGCCTCCCCCTCCACATACATAAATGGCTAAACCCAGGGGTAAGACGAGGGTTCTCCAAGCAAATCTTCACCATGCAGCAGCTGCTTCTGCCGTGGTGGAGGTTTACTTTGCAGAGGACAACATTGACCTCGCCCTTATACAAGAGCCGAGGGTGGCCAACGGTCAAGTTCTGGGATTGTCGGCTGCCGGTAAAATTCTCGTACAATACCAAAGGCAGTAGACGCAGAGCTTGTATTATTTATTATAAAAATATTGAACTTTTAGCTGTTCCAGAGTACTGCAATGATGATTTGGTTACAGCCTTCATAAATCTCAAGGGATGCACAGGGGCCAGAGTAATCATTTGCTCAGCCTATCTTCCCGGCGAGAACGCAGATCCTACCATCGAGTTAGAGCAAGTGGCGGAGTTTACCCGAAAACACAACGCCGAACTTGTGGTGGGTTGTGATGCTAATGCTCACCACGCAGCTTGGGGAAGCACCAACATCAACGAAAGAGGTGAGGTGACTATTTAATAGGGCTAAGAAAAACAAAGAGTGGGATATTTATAGTGCAGCTCTAACTGAATATAATAAAGAAATCAGGAAAGCCAAGAGAGCATCGTGGAGGAAGCTATGCGAGGAATTGAGTCTTTGCCTCGCAGTGCAAGACTACACAAGATGCTATCGAAAGCTAAACCTAATCAAATCGGGCTTCTTAAAAAGCCTGATGGTAACTTCACTAATAGTGAAACAGAAACATTGGAGTTACTAGCGTCAACCCATTTACCAGGCTCATACAAGAATTCAGCCTTGAACTCTTTCAGAGTCCTACGAAGGCCTTGCAATGAGGACTGCCGTAGGGCTGCAAAGATAATAGGGCCAAACCTGGTGCAATGGGCTGTTGACTCCTTTAAACCATATAAATCAAGCGGGGAGGATGGAATAATTCCCATCCAACTACAGAGGGGTATCGATATCCTTCTTCCTTATCTGGTGAAAATCTTCAGTGCAAGTTTTGCATGGGGATATATTCCAGAACGATGGACAATTGTCAAGGTTCTATTTGTACCTAGGGCCGGTAGAAAGGACTACGCTTTACCAAAGTCCTTTAGACCTATAAGCCTATCTTCCTTTCTTAAGACTTTGGAAAAGGTTATAGATAGATATATAAGGGATGTAGCTCTAGCTACGAGGCCCATACATTACAACCAGCATGCTTAACGCAGAGGCAAATGCTATGGAAACAGCCCTGATCAGTGTCATTGACAGGGTCGAAAACGCACTGGAGTATAAAGAAATAGCTCTTTGTGCCTTTCTAGATATTGAAGGCGCCTTCAACAGTAGCCCCACATCACAGCTGATTGGGGGCCTAACATCTAAAAATGTTGACCCCACAACCATCAGATGGGTGAAGTCGATGCTCTCAAATAGAAAAGCAAAAATAGCGCTTTTTCAAACTTTGATTGAGGTTGCAACTACTAGAGGCTGCCAACATGAAGGTGTTTTGTCACCCCTTCTTTGGACTCTTGCGGTTGACCAACTATTTTACAAAATGGCAGACCTACGCATTGACATATTGGGTTATGCTGATGACCTTGTGATCATTGCGAGGGGTTTTTGCCAAACTAATTTATCGTCAATAATACAAAGAGCCCTAAACACCATAAATAACTGCTGTAGGGATAACAGTTTATCAGTTAATGCTGATAAAACTGTTATAATACCCTTTACCAAAAAGAGACGGTTGGACAAATTAGTCCAACCAAAACTTAATGGTAAAGAAGTACCATTTTTCACGGAAGTTAAGTACTTGGGCGTAACAATCGACCAAAAACTAACGTGGAACTCTCACCTTAGCAACGTATGCCATAAGGCAAAAATTGCTTTAGGTACGTGCAGTCGTTTGGTCGGGAGCAACTGGGGCTTGCGTCCCAGTATGGTCCTATGGCTGTACAGCAGCAAAGTGTGGTCGATTCTCACTTACGCCTCTATTGTCTTGTGTAACAAGGCCAACCAAAAGACGACTGCGGACAGACTAAATAGTCTACAAATGACTGCCTGCCTAATGGCAACTGGAGCTATGCGATCATCGCCTGGAGCGGCTCTTAATGCACTTCTATGCCTAATGCCCCTTGATCTCTATCTAGACTAGGAGGCGAGGGCTAGTTTGTATAGGATTAACGCCCAGGGCGGTCTGAGCTTGCTCTCCTACAGATTGAAATCCATGCTCGACTCAATTAAGGAATCACCGATCTTATGCATGATCTCAGATATCATGCGTCCACTACACACTTTTGATAAAAAGTATATAGTGGAATTACCCTCCGGAGAAGACTGGCTGAATGGCCAGGTTATCTGTGAGGTCGGTAGCCTCATATGGTATACCGATGGGTCTAAAATGGGCCTCGACGTAGGCTTTGGAATTTACGGGGAACGCTCCAAATTCAAACTTAGTATGAATTTGGGTAGATACACCTCTATCTTCCAGGCAGAAATTTTCGCCGTACTTCGGTGTGCAGAAATAAATCTGCAAAAACGCTACGTCAACCATAAAATTTACATAAAATCTGATAGTCAAGCAGCACTGCTAGCGCTGAGATCAAACTTAGTGAACTCAAAGCTAGTTGGAGACTGCGTGAACCGTTTAAACGCCCTGGGTTGTAACAACAGGATCGTTTTAAGATGGGTTCCGGGTCACGAGGGTATTGTAGGCAACGAATTTGCCGACAAACTTGCACGGGAGGGCTCAAAGTGCACACAATTTGGACCCGAGCCATTTTGTGGAATCTCAAGAAGCCTAGCCCGATTGACCCTTCAAACTCTTTGTCACAATAAATCACTTAAGATCTGATTTAACACACCAGGCTTAAAACATTACTGAAACCTTAATCCGGGCCTTTGATCGTAAATTCGCTTCAGAAGCCCTGGGATTAAGTAAAAGTAAATTGCGCATTCTGGCAAGAGCCCTAACTTGACACTGTTGTCTTAAAAAGCACATGTTCATCCTGGGACTAAGCGACTCAAGGATGTTTCGGTTCTGTTCCATAACGGAAGAAATGCCTCTACACATCCTAACCGATTGCGAACCCTTAATGCGCAAACGTAACACTCATCTGGGATACTATCTTCTCCGCCCAAAAGAAGTGAAATTGCTCACGGCTAAGCAACTCCTTCGATTCATTGAAGACATAGGACTTAGCAGTGAACTATAGCCATAGCAGCGATCACAATAGATCTTTTAAGTCGCAGTGATACTGGTCTCTTTACCTAGACCTGCATAGCTGCTCGTATATAA